CGCGCGCGCGGCCGCGGCGGGGCGGGCGGGGCGCGCGCGGTACCTGGTTGGCTCCCGGCGGCTCGGCGCGAAACGGCGGGAAAAGGGAACGCGGCGCCGCGGGAGCGCGCGGCAGGGGGCGGGGTTCTCGCGGGGTTTCCGCCGCCGCTCTCGCGAGAGCGGGTGCGGGTCGGGTGTACCATAGTGGCGGTTGGGCGCATGATGGCTGCCATGCGGCCCTCTAGGATCGCACCGTTAACATCTTCCTCCTCCGCCTGTTCTAAGCTGCCGCATGGCGCCCGGGGTTTGCACAGAGAGATCGGCCATCCCGGCCGTGGAACATTCTGGAAACGCATGGAGGCACTAAAAAAATAAGCCAACTTAAAAAAAAATTTGGTCTTGCACGTGTCTGGGGTGTAGCCCATGTGGCAGGGGCCCTGCAGGTGCTCGGGCATGTCCCTTGCAGCGTGCTGGCGCTGGGGTGGATGTCCGTGGATGTCCACACGGACGCGGAGGCGCTCCGGGGATGCCCTGTATTCACTCCATGTGCTTGGTGGGTCCAGCAGGTTGCTAGTAAAGGAGATCTCCTTAGAGCGCACTCCAATGTTCTGAGTATAAATTGCAGAATGAACGAGCATTAAAAGTTGGAAAAAGCCTTCAAGCTCATGGAGTCCAGGCGCAAACCCATCCCACCAGGCTGCTGATTCCCAGGGCCCCCGGCACACGGTTCCTGAGCCCTGCCAGGGACGAGGGCTCCACTGCCTTCCAGGACAGCCTGTTCCTGTGCTTCACCGCCCTTCCATGGAGAAACCTTCCCTCATACCCAGACACAACCTTCCCAGACAACCTGAGGCCACCTCCTCATGTCCTGTCAGGACTTATTGTGGAGAAACACCTATAACTTTCGAACAGTTAATCAAGTAAGGACGTAGTGGCAGCTGAAGCCGGCTGCTCTATGTGATACATCCATTTTTGAGAGTTTTACCAACTTTTTTCTTTTTTTTTTGCCCAAATTATAGATCACCATTCAATCTTCGAGATCACTTCTGCTGTTTGCTGAGAGGTAAACCTCTTGCCTTTTAGCCTATAGTTTCACTTAATGATAAAATAGAAAGAATGCACAGTTTTTCACTAATACTGTGCTGCCTTCACACAGTTGCTCTGCACTGTTTAGGTATTTGTAGAAATGCAGATACAGTGGCAAGCTTAGAGTTCACGTGGCGATCTGTTTGCAAAGGCCGGTCCTGAAAACATAAAGTTCCTCAACCAATATTAATAGCAATATGAATAAAGTTAGGTGCGCAATTATTTATTTTACTAGCTGCTAATAGCTGTTTCATCATGCTTTTATTAGGTTGCTAGATCACAAATCTGAAGTGTAGAAACTCAAAGTTATAAATATGGAGCTGTCAGCATAAATAAAAATGGGTGTAAAATGTTATTTTAGTATTTCAGAGGTAAAGTATTTTGAAATACTTTCAGAGTGGAGTCCAAGATGACTCATGAATAAGCAAACTTTAAATCTATTGTTCAACTTTGTTGAAAATAATCTCAGTTTCCAGTTAATTGTATACCTTGATCTTTAGTGTTTTGATTTTTTTTAGTTAACTTTCTTCCTCATTCCTGACTACTGATTAATCAATTATTTTTTTCTACTAAAACATACCCAGTGTTCAGGAGCTCAGTTGATTAATTCCATCATGGATTTGCCCGTTTTCACATTAGTACACGTGCAAAAGAACATGTAGTAAAATTTACTACATCTTATGGAAGGAACTGCATTAATAGGTTATGATGGACACACTAATACTCTTAAATAGTGACTGCAAGGAGTCTTGTTCTCTGCTTTTTAGTTCTGATTTTGTATTTTTTATAATCTAAAAGTTAGTGACATAGGAAAGTAGTCCTTTTCTCAGACTAAAGACACCAGGTGTCTGTAAATGTATACACAGGCCAGATAAGTAGCAGTACAATTACCCTGATGATGGATGAGTCATCCTGCGATGAACTGGACCCTTCTTTTTAATTTCTAGGAAACACTCCAGAAAATATTTGTGTCTTCTTTCAAAATTATCTGCATTGACGTAATTCTCCTATGCTGAGCTTGACAGCAGTTTCACTCTGTTGACTTCTGCACTGTTTTCCTAATTTACTCAGCAATAAGTGAATTCAGAATAAGACATGAACTTGAACTTTACCTTTATCTCCCCTCCAGATTTATTTGTTTTTATGCAGAAAGATGCATTCCCTAATCATACTTGACCACATACTTGACCACAAATTACTGAATTGCCAATCCTTGTCTCTTTAAATGTGCTAACAAACTACTGAAGTCAGATACTCCACATCCATTTATTGGACATTGGATATTTAGGCTGACTAGTGTTTTTTGTTTTGTTTTGTTTTTTTTTTTTTGCTTCTGTTACTTTAAGTTTAGGTGCAAGGACAAAAACTGTCTTTGAATGACAATTATCACTGATCATTTACAATGATAAATAAACTTTTTTTTTTTTCCATGTTTAACTATGTAATAGTGGTTCCCTTGTTTACTCACATACTTTATAGCAGGTTGCACATCTGCATACGTGAACAGAGTGCCCAGAGCCTCCCTGACACGCTGGGTAAATACGCTGCTCAGTCTCGGGGCACGTTCATTGCATGAACATCGTGTTGTAGCTGCCAAAGAGGGCATTGAAGGAGCCCATTTCCTTACCCAGTGAGTAAGTGCATGCAGCACAATTTGGAGCTACCTTCCTTCCCGGAATTTGGATTTCGCAGGAATTCCCAAGGATTTGAGCCCGGAGCACGGAAAGCAGCATTCCTCTGGATGATTTTTTAGAAGTGGGAGAGCACATGGAGCCCAACGGTGTGCCTGGCACTGACAGCATTTGCTTTTCTTCTGGAAGAAAGGTGATGAGCTGCTCCATCAGCCCCACCAGCTGAACTTGAGTCTTCTCAAGCAGCTGGCTGAGCCACTTCTGAAATCAGGCCAAGGGCAAATTCCCTGGTGCCAGTAACATTGTGCACTTTAAGGAACCTTTCTCTTGGAAGTGCTGACACTGCTCCTCACCTGTGGTCTGAAACAGCCCCAGTTTGTTCAGCTGGAGCTCTGGTCTATATAGAGAACTGATGGGGAAAAAAGCAACCTGAGGGCAGCTGCTTAAAGACTCCAGTGCAGCGTTCCTGGTCCTCAAACTCTAAAGAGCACCTATATGTGTTAGCTGCAGGCTGGAGTGGTTTGCTTTAATGATAGTTAGGCACATTTGTATTAGCCTTGGAGGGCTATTTTGCTCTTGGAAGGATGGAGTAAAGCTGTGCAGGTCCGTGTGGCATGCCACCGACTTTTTACTGCAGTGAATGACAGGAATTCAGGACAAGAGAAGAAATGAAACAAAAACAGCAGATGGGAAATGGTCTTTTACTTACCTTTTGGGGAGATAAATCCCTAAGCAATGGCCTGTGCCCCAAAGAAAAAGCAGCTGAGCAAGAACCCAAGTAAAATAAAACACATGAATTGCTAAGGGAGGGGGTGGGCAAGCAGCATATTAAAAGCTGATTTATTTCATTTGAATTTTTAAAAATATACCGTGTTCCAATTCTGTAGCTTCAGAAAACAGAGCTCTGAAAACAGAGCTCTCTCTCTCTCGGAACATTTTTTGGTCTCTACAGAGTGTCTCTGGTCAAACCACACAGTTCAATGACATTTTTTTTTCTTTTGAAAGCGATATATTCCTTAGTCTAACCAAGCTTTAATTCCATATATGACAGTGAAATCAACAGAGATACTAGAAGTAATGTTTCTTTTTCCTAACATACATTTTTATCCCCTGTGAGAGTGCAAAGCCTTTCCTATGTTGCTTTCCATTCTCCCACACTCTCAAGAACAGTTTTAACAAACAGATAAAGGGCAACCAGCAAGAAAGTCATTTCAGTTCTCTTATTCATTTTTTAAGCTGCCTTTTTATTGGCACCCTACAAGAGACAAGTAATGTTCTTTCTTTTTGCATCAGCCTGGAAATAGCAGGCAGTAAACACCACCATAATTGAAGCTTCCTGTCGTGTGATTTCCATAAATTCTTACATAATCCTAAATAGATCTTAATGTATCTAATGGTTTATATCCACTGCGGTAGGATATACACACACATATATATAAACTATGTATATACATATATATATATATTTACATCATAAGAAAACTCTAAGTGCTTCACTTAAAGATAGACTAAAATAAGACTTTCAGAGAGGTAGAAGTGGCTATATGATTTTTCAAGAAGCAGATACAGAGATGATGAGAAGATTCAGATTTAGTTTAGTTAAAGAGTTATTTTGTGCTAACAGGCATGACAAAACCTGTCTTCATTCCTTTCTATTCAGCTCAGCAAGTACTTCTGTTCTTCAGTAGTTAATCAGTTACTAGATTCCACAGCTT